GTGAGCACTCTTAGGACAATGGATTGCCTTCTTTATCATGGAAATATATGAACTGACTACTTCCTATCGCAGGTGCTACATGGACGACCCTCTGGAGTTGGAACGGATATCCTAACCTGAATCGGTACTTTGGTGTCGATAATTCTGAAGCTCCTTATTTAGGTGGTAAGTGAGAGTCAATGGTTTGGGATGTGACAGAAATAATACCTCGATTAGGTCCGCTTGGCAGTTCCGACTTTTCTCACCCGTTGGTTGGTTGGATGATCGAAGTATGTCCCATTGGTTCTCATTTAGAACGGGGCTAATAGTGTTAATAAGGCCCTCGTTATCGACCCATTCGATTCAAATCACTGGCTGGTGAGTGTTGAGCTGGATGGATACCCATTCCGGTGTTGACTGTTTTGAAGTACGGAACTGGTGCGACCATTAGTGGTGGTCACGATCTGCTTAACTGGGACACCGCAAGAAACGTTAGCGTCAGATCCATCGTTAAAGGATTGGAAGAGACTGCAGTTCTGGGTCTCATTTCACCGACTTCGGGCTCTCATCTATTATCAGTAGTTGGCAAGTCCCCTCTTTCTCTCAGCAGGCCATAGAACTAAGCATGTTTGATAGGCGATATTGGGGGGTTTAATCATGTCGACTTTAATAAGCCCTCAGCTGGCTTCACGAATCCGACATATGGCACTACGACTGGGATTGATTACGCAGGCAAGAAACCTGCTGCCATTGTTCGAGTCGGGAATGTTGAGGGCTCGAATGACCCACAAATTGCTCTATCGGCAGATGGAGGTGCTACATGGGCGCCATACCCTAACCTCAGCGGTCCTGCGTCAGCACCTGGTTATCTTGGAGGAAATGTCGCCCTTTCTGCCAACGGAGATACCGTCTTCTGGTCTTCGAATGGACAAGGCGTCTTACTCGCTCGTAATAACGGCGGATTTGCTCCGGTCTCCAACATCCCGGCATACGCAAAGATCGCCTCAGACAAGGTAAGAGTGATTCTGAATACTCTCCTACAATTTGTTAAAAGCCGCTGGATAGGCCTATGGTACCGTTCTCTATGCCGCCTCCGGCTCTTCTTTCTACATATCCACCGACTCTGGGACATCTTTCACTGCTTCACCCCTCGGCAACATTACGTCTCCACAATGGATAGCTGCTAGCCCTTACAAGGCTGGTGAACTCTGGATTAGCGGAAACACGGGTATCATTCGTTCAGTCGACTATGGCAAAACTTGGACCTCGCTTCCTTCAATCACGAGTGCGTGGCAAATAGCCGTCGGTGCGCCAATGCAACCCAACGGACCTACCGTGGTATATGCGGCCGGAACAATTGAGGGTATCAATGCGCTATACAGGACAGATGATGGCGGTGCAAACTGGATCAAACTCAGCGACGAGACGCACGGTTTTGGTGCAGTCAGCACAATCGTTCTGGCTGCGGACCCTAGAATATACAAGAGGTAAGTTTGTACTCTCTGATCTACCTGATTGTGACGCGGCTTCTTTAGGGTATACGTGGGAGCGGGTGGCCGGTAAGTATGCCGTGTCTCCTATGTACTGAGCTGATTTTCGTTTCCAGTGGAATCTTTTACACTGCGGATGCTTGGTGAATAACCGAAAGGTACACTTAGACCATTCTCGGGGACAAACAAAGAGTGGATGGTACATGCATGTATATATATTTATAATAAGATACATATCCTCTTCATACATAAACTTCTCGTTGTAAGTTATCTAGGGAATACCCTCTACTTAATCCAATTCGTCAATGGAGCGGCGTTCGGGCTGTTGCTCGGATTGTTCTTGTCCACCAGATTGAGGCCTTGGGTGCCTTCCACGTCCACCATAGCCGTGCTTTCTGCGTCCTCCCGACCTGTGGCCACCTTGGCGTCTTGGGCTGCGTGCCTCGATTTCCTGAAGGTCCTCTACATCGCGGGCGTCGAGCTCCATGAGCTCCTCTTCGAGTTCCCTTTTGCCATGCTTGCCAGTTTTGGGTCCCTTGGGCCCATATGGACCGTGTGGGCTTGGTGGACCGGGTTTGCCAGGTCGAGATGGGGGGCGCATACCACGAGCTTCGATTTCAACAGACTCGTCTCTTCGGCGGTGGGGCCTGCCTCGAGGTCCCTTGGGTCCGTATGGAGGTGGGCCAGGCTTGCCAGGTCGAGAAGGAGGGTGCGAACTACGAGCTTCGATCTCCACAGACTCGTCTCTTCGGCGGTGAGGCCTGCCTCGAGGTCCCTTGGGTCCGTATGGAGGTGGACCAGGCTTGCCAGGACGAGATGGAGGGCGCATACTGCGAGCTTCGACCTCGACAGACTCGTCCCTTCGGTAATGCTTGCCTCCTCGAGGTCCCTTGGGTCCGTATGGGTTAGGTGGACCAGGTTTACCAGGTCGAGAAGGAGGGCGCATACTACGAGCCTCGACCTCAACAGACTCGTCTCTTCGGCGGTGGGGCCTGCCTCGAGGTCCCTTGGGTCCGTATGGAGGTGGACCAGGCCTGCCAGGACGAGAAGGAGGGCGCATACTACTGCGAGCTTCGACCTCGACAATGCCACGGGCGACGAGATCTTCGGTGTCTAATTCGAGGGCTCTGGGGCGCTTGTGTCCACCGTGAGCATGGAAGCTGCCGGGGCCGCGAACAGATCCGGATCCGGGAGTAGGACGACGGGGTGGGGCGAGGGGAGCGGCAAGTGCTGTGGTAGCAGCGATGAAGGCAAGAACAACAGAAGTGGAGAAGTGCATTTTGTTTGTGGGTAAAAAGAAGTTTGCTGTTTGAAGAAAAGATAAAAAAAAACTGGCAAAGAGACGAACACGAATTAGTCCAATCTGTCGTATGAGACGCTGAAATGAGAGAAAACGAGACTCACAACTGGCACCGGGCCTAGTGAAAGAAAAAAGGCAAAGAAGAAAAGAGAAAAGCAAAGGAGATCCGAAGGAAGGTGGATGCTGGAACGAGACAGCTCGACTGCGAGGTTTTATAGCTCGTCGCGCTCACCGCATCATTTCCACGCAAAATTGGCAATCTCACGAAAACTGCAGCAAAATATGCTGAGATTAGTGGTCGAAGGTGAAGGTCATCGATGCTGCCAAGTGCACGTACCTTTAGACGTGAGAGCCGGACGTTGGTCGTAGTCTGTTTCATAGCCACCTCGTGAGCTAAATAAATTAAGACTCGTATGGTTCTTCCATATGTGCCTAAAGTTTCCACTAGATTCCCCGCAGATCTAGTGCGTTGACGTATGGGACTGCGAAAAAAAGTGTTCGGGACCTTTTCATGTGCGAACGAATTCAAGGTACGTCGGGAAGATAGCCTAGGGTTTCCTAAATTCAAGTCAAAGAGGCCACGATTCGAAGCCTGGACTTTATTGTGGTGGGAAAGTTCATGGCCAAGAAGCTAGGGCCACCTGCACCCCACAAGATCACAAGTTTTCGTCCATGAAAGAACTTTTCGCAAAGTCTGCTATTCAGAAGGCTGTTGTAGCGACGAGAATGCTATATTCATACGCCGATAGACAAGTTGCGGAACCAGGTCCACGAACATCGTACGCACTTGCTACATTATAGAGAGGCCATAAGCCCCTCAGACGCGTACCTCAATATATTTCCACCGTAAACAGGACTTAACGGGGCTTGGAAGTGAGTGAAATGAAAGCGCGGCAAGGTGACGCAACCCCGGCCCGGCACATCTCTACCACCGATGCTGAGAACCAGATGAATCAGCCATCGAAATAGTGCTTACAATTCCCTCAAACATGTGAGAGAAATTCTCATCTAAGCACAACTGAGACTATAGAGCCAAACGAGATCAAGCTTTTATAGACACGCTATATTTCCCTGATTGTGCAATGGCGTTAGCATCCTAGAATGTCCGTCTCAGATCAACACACTGCATATCTTTCTCCTCAGATCACGTTCCGACTGTCATCTATGACTAAGACACCTCGGAGTACACTTATTACATTATTTGGGCATGATGCCCTAATACAATATGACAGGCGGAGGCCCCCGTTCTATCAACACATCGTTACCACAGAACGAGTAGATATATAAATCCTCCTTATTAAGAGCTGAAGGAGCCACAAGCTTGTAAGTCGTACAAAAGTTACTAAACAAATAGCTATTGGGAAGTACCTGTGATGAAATTACAGCTTTTAGGCGTCACATCCTATGATATTATGATAGTTACGATGCCTATGGCATGCTGGCTCACGCACGTATGTCTGGCACCAGGCGTCCCACGTGTACTTCCAGCTCCACATCCTAGCATACCACTGGGAATACCAATGATTAATCGAATCTGAGAGATTTCGTGCCTGATCTGTAAGGTCAAGGCTGTAAATAAAGTTGGAATCTTCATCATCACCATGTTCACCTTCATAATCTTCATAATCCTCATCTTCAAAATCTCCGGGATCTTCAGGATTCCGGTCACTTGAATCCTTATCAACAGAAAAATCCGGATGAATATCGTCTGTTCTGCTCTGAGTACCATTTTCGTCCTGATTTTGAGGCCGTATACACAATCCATAATTGCAATCAAATCCGGTTAGATGACAACGATGACAGCCTGGGATATTTGGATCAAAATACCTAGTTCCTAAGGTAAGCGCAAACAAGCTGTCTTTGGAAGGTGAAGTAGGTATCTGGAGTCGAAGAAGGCTTTTGAGCGGTTGAAGTAGCCATTCCGCTGGATAGTTGAGAAGTTGGAGGTAACGGATCGGAGAGACAGATGGTGTCCATATATTTCTTACTTTGAATGTCATGAATAACAATTCCCAATTTGGAGGGTCGTACGATGAGATGCTTTCGAGGTTGGGACAGGAATCAGGGAATACGATCAATGTACTCAGGAGGCGGTCGATTGGTATGTCCCAGATACCTTCCATTACTTGCTCACTAGTGAGAAATATTTTCTTCAGACATTTGAAGGAAAGGAAAAGGGAGCTATGGGCCAAAGACAGAGTATAGGCAGAAACTGACTCTAAATTGGGGAAATTGTAGATCTCCAATGAATCTTTTCCTATGTCAAATGGTGACTTTGAATCCGATGGCCACAGAACCTCAGGTTCTGGGAACATGATAGATAACTCGAGCAGATCAGGAGATTTGATGAAGGGCAATAACTCGGAATCCCCCAAATTCAAAGATTCCAGATTTTGAAAATACCTTTTAGTATCATATCGACCCACTTCGATGGGGACCCCAACTGTGAGATGCGTAAGCCTCGGACAATTTCCAAGAAATTCTAGGACATCCGATGCAAGTAAACTAGTCTCCCATGGTGAGTCTATGTCAATAGTATGGACCTTCTGCATGGCACCTCTTGCCCATTGAAAGAAAAGAAGCGGCCTCGCTGTCTCGTCAAGTTGGTATGTGAAGTTATAGTCAAAATTTAGCCTCCGTAAGGATGGAAATTTGGGAGGAAGCACCCGTGCCGTATTGGGGGTATCCCTATCCATTACCCAATATAAACTCAAGAATAATAGGTTCGGAACATCTATTTGGTTCTCAACAAGGAGTACCATCGAACTGTCTTCAATTCGCACTTCTAACGAGACCAAGGTAGAATATGCAGCAGTAATCAAACCTGGTACTGCATTCGCAAGCCTACCTTTGAGTCTGAGCTCGAGATGCTCGAGTCTCATTTGTGGGAATATGTCAATATCGAACGATTCCTCTTCAGATGAATTTTCATTGTCGCTACATAGTGTCAGCCTACCCAACATTTCAGACTGCTGGAGAATGGACAGAATGTCATTGTGTCGGTCAAGCTGTAATCCTACGCTACGGAGATTGGAAAGCTTTGGCATATCTAAATATCCTTGACATTCGAAAATCGCCGGACCGCCGTACCGGTGAATCCCTCGCAAGTTTGGTAGGGCCTCCATGATATCACCAAGCAATAATTGTGAAACATCATATGCTACCATTTCCATAGTCATCGTCTCGAGGTTGGGTAGGATTCGAAGGATTTGTAAGAGTTCTGCGAGATCTTCCCATACAGTGACGTAGCTAGCACTCCTGACATGTAAATCCTTCATCGCGTCCCTCGCCTGGAATACAAGCTCTTTCATCTTTGAGCCCACCAGAGGGATTTCGAGAACGACTGAGAGAGAAGTCTGAGAGGAGAGGTGGAGCATTGTTTCGAGAGCATCGAGGTCTGCGTCGAATGTAAATTGTATGTAAGTCCATAGACAAGGTATGGACGTTATGAATTGACACCATTCCGTGGATACCAGGCAAAGATCGAAAGCATTCTTAGAATCGTCGCCAACCACATATTCCAGGATAAGTGTCCATATTTCTGGCGGGAAAAATTTGTAGGGGTCAAGCCTTTTCTTTTGTCTAGAGCGCATCTCCATCAATTGGTTATACTCCTGAATAAGAAGGGATGATCTTGAGTCTTCATTATCGAGGGGTCCATGTATACTGCTGATCATTTGAAGGAGACGGGCACGCTCCCCGTCCACACTTGCTTCACCATGGCCGGGGTTTCCGAGGGATTCTGTGCCCTTCGTATCGAGTGAACTCATCGGATGTGTGAAGTCTTATTCTTTATGAAGAGTTTGTCGTGGACCTGGCTCGTGGAAGAGTTCAAGGTTTTGAGCTCGGCGCTTTCCGAGGTTTACGCCTTAGCTCCCATCCAATCATCCAGCCTCTCAGTATATATAGCCCTGCGTTTATTGCCCACATTGGAGTTGGTCTCCTGAGTTCTATAGAGCCCAAACAGGGGATGTATATTTGTCTAATCTTCGGTATCCCCACTCTAGATACAGACTAGTGTCGTACAATAATGTGACCGCACAGCTAGGCCCTGAGCGTAACTCTCATATTGCACTACGCACTGGATACTAATGGAGTCACTGCAATTAGAATCTGCGATAATACAGATAACATGACATCCAATCCCGGTTCTTCCCCGCACATAAACTTAACGACATTAAAACACTCTATGTCTTTATTGACTCTCCTTCCTAGATATAACAAGATAACAATATATAAGCAAATAAATAGTCAACCAAGTCTAGTTACAAAGCCCTTGGATATTGCTAGAAAATGCAGGACTTTACTGGCATTTGGCTAGCGCCTGGAAAGATTTGTCCTACGGACCATTCTCCCATCCGGCGCAAAGGGTATGTCGAATGTCAACAAGACAAAGCAAGTGCCATTTGAACCGGCCCAATCCGTCAACTCGACCACTACCAATACAGCAGATTGGCTTTTTGATAACCAGCACATTCAGTAAATTGCTGGCATATCCGCTCTCCAGATAATGTTGTGGCGTAACATATAGTCGACCAGTACACAGTCACACCGTCCTTCTGACATTTCGTCCCCACTCATCGCCCAAAAAATTCTTGATCATCGCTCTTCTTGATGTTAAAGCCTATCTTGTCATCCGTCGCGGTACTCCTTGGACTCGCCTATGCCCAACCAGTACCACATAACCAAGCAACATTCAACTCGAGCTTCGGATCTAGCGGCGTAACTCAAAATGCAGCCGACGCAGCTTGGAAGACATACGACTATGTCGTTGTAGGCGGCGGTCTCACTGGCCTTACCGTCGCTGCTCGTCTGGCCGAAAATCCATCAACCAAGGTTCTGGTCATCGAAGCCGGCGGCGATAACCGAGCAGACCCTCGCGTCTACGACATTTATAAATACGGACAGGCATTCAATTCGGACTTGGACTGGCAATTTCCTACGGAGCGCGGAAACATCGCAGGGTATGTGGCGTCTTCAGAGATCTTCTATGATGATATTCATGGCTTTTATTCTCCTCGACTACAGCGGTAAAACTCTTGGAGGCAGTTCTTCTATCAACGGGGCTGCGTGGACGCGCGCCTCCAAGGCCCAATACGACGCTTGGGGATCGTTTCTGAAACCCGAAGAGTCTTATCTCAACTGGACATGGAATAGCATGTTCTCCTACATGAACAAGGTTTATTCATCATTCAAGAACGCGCATAGCTAGATAAGCTTACATTGTCGCCTTGGTTTGGATAGGCTGAAACCTTTTCTCCGCCTAACAGCGAGCAGCGCGCAAAAGGTGCCGATGCAGTCAATGACTATCATGGTTACAGTGGACCCGTCCAAATCACATTTCCAAGTAAAATGTACGGGGGGCCTCAGCAAGGGGCGTTCGTCAAGTCAATTCAGTCTGCTGTCGGCATCAAGAAATGCGCTGATATTAGTGGGGGAGATGCAAATTGTGTGGCTTATACTCCTAACGTGAGAGAATCTTCCCTTAACGGACACTGTAACTTATATGCCCACCAGTCTATCAACTGGCGTGAATCCGATCACCGATCTTCCGCTGCCTCCGCCTATCTAACTCCCGTCGAAAGCCTACGAAAGAACTGGCTCACCCTCGTCAACCACCAGGTTACCAAACTACTCTGGACAACGGACAACTCCAAGTTCGCTTATGGCGTCGAGTTCCGCCAAACTGACGTCCCATGTACTCCCTTCCAAGTCTACGTGACTAAAGAAGTCATTTTAGCCGCTGGGGCCATCAATACACCAGCTGTTCTTCAGCGGTCAGGAGTAGGCGACCCCGCACTCATGAACCCGCTCGGCATCCCTACCGTACTCAACATTCCCACCGTCGGAAAGAATCTACAAGAGCAGACAATGAGCGTGCTGGGCTCTAGTAGCAATGGCTTTGATCCAAAGGGCGATGGCCCGAGCGACGTGATCGCATTCCCAAATTTTTACGAATTATTCGGTAGAGAAGCAGCCCCGAGGGCATCTGAAATTCGGAGTAGTCTTGATCGATGGGCTACCGAGCAAGCAAGCAATGCGCTATCAGCAAAAGCACTCAAGGACATTTATGGGATACAAGCTACGTTGATACTGGACAATAAGGGTACGTTCACTCAGCATTCTGTAATGGCCCTGTACTAACCCTTGCTTTAGTCCCTGTTCTAGAGCTCTTTTACAATACGGGTTGGCCCGACATGATAGGCATCCTCGCATGGCCCCTCCTCCCTTGGAGCCGTGGCACAGTCAAAATCATCTCACCAGACGCGTTCGTCAAACCACAAACCACAGTCAACTACTTTAAGGTCGATATGGACATGAAGGTGCAGATCGCCGGGGCTCGACTCGCTCGTCAAGTCATGAGCACGCCTCCGCTCTCTGGACTTCGTAACGCCGAGACCACTCCCAGATGTCTCGTTCCCGACAATGCATCGGATGAAGAATGGAAGACGTGGGTTTTTAGGACGTTCAATCCTGTCAGCCATCCCATTGGTACCTGTGCAATGATGCGCCAAGATATGGGTGGTGTTGTGGATGGGAAGTTGAAGCTTTATGGAGCAAAGAATGTGCGGATTGTCGATGCTAGCGTCATGCCGACCCAAGTCAGTGCGCATTTGAGCAGCACGCTCTATGGCATTGCGGAAAAGGTCGCAGATATGATCAAAGCAGGACTATAAGTTTCATTGTAGAAGAATGTATAATAGTGTGCATCGATATTAAATTGTAGTTTAACTCCGGTTTTGGTCAACGAACAAGGTTCGAAGCAACAAAGAAATCTTTGGCTGGAATACTCTCTGATGTTTACTCAAATGCCACTTGAGGTAACGCATTTTGAAGCGAAGGCTCGAATTCTTACTTTCTATACCGGACTTTATCACCATCCATAGGGGTTATAGGCACTAGTCTGCACATTCGGAACATCAATCAAGTGCCAGTAAACTCGTATTCATATGCTATACGATACATGGGAAGACAGAACTCGGAAGGGAGAGGCAGTTCCTGGGATGGGAACGTAACTTCTCCCTCGCTAACAAAGACATCGTAGTGGAGAATCACACTGAGGTTACTTCCTGGGAATAGAGTGGAAAGTCGTTTCGCATACGGTCAAGCAACTCGGCGAGTACCTGTGCCAGCGATGATCCGGGATAATTCGATATATTAGGGTATAGGGTGATAGTGACTAAGATACTGTAATTAAAAAACTAAATATAGGGTCTTTAGTATAGCGCCGGCCATCGGTAGAATCGCCTCTGTTTCGGAAGGGGCTTGGCAGTCGCAATATGGGTGCCGACATTGTAATGCGTGCCCTCTTGTGCGTGAAATTTGACCTGACTCGCAGCTTGAAACACCATCACAATATCCGACCCTCCAAACTGAAAGTAGGAAATCTCGCTGCCCTTCTTCACCACGTCTCCCGACTTTACGCTGAGCCTAACGGACGACACGTGAGCCATACCGATAGGCAAGATAGCGACGAGACCAATGTCGGGGTTGTCAATGATGACGAGACCACGGGCTTGGAGAAATTGGTATCCCGCTCCATCAGACGCCTTTAGATGACGACTCATCCCAAGCTGATGACGACCACTTTCATCTTGCTTTGCTTCGACTTTGAGGTAATTTAACCCGGGAATGACTTTGGCCTCTTTGACGGTACCAGCGATGGGCGAGTGCTGGCGATGATAGTCGGTCGTGTTGAGGAACGCGTGCATAAACTGACCACCATTAAACCTCTCTCCATACTCGCTATCCTGAAGCAAATCGACAATGCTCCACGGAAGACCTTTGGACGTGAAAATGCCATTTTCGTCAACGGGCCAGCAACCTGCAAACGTCGCGTCGGCAGGGCTAACGATAACAGTGGGATCTAGAGGACTCGCAATAGGCCTCTTGTGGCTATAAATATGCCGGGCGAAAAACTCGTTAAAGGTCGTCCAGCCGCCCAATACGACCGGGTAGTCGTCCATGTGGTACGCCTCCGAGGCGTAAAAGGTCTTGATCGTCTCGTCGTTGATGGACTCGGGCGAGTCCATAAACTTGCCGAGCTCTTGTGCGTACTGGACGAGCCAGTCGGAGAGCCACGTCTTGGCGGGGGAAGGATTGGGGACCTCTTTGACCTGGTACCTTTTCATCGGTTCTTGGTCGAGGACGAAATAGAACATGCAGAGGTGGTTGTAGACACTCTTGCCGTTCGAAGTTTCGCTGGGTGTCCATCGCAAGAGCTTTTCGTAAAAGTCGAGGTAGTCGGCTGGTGTGCGGATGTTGTATTCGGTGAATTGGGGAATGTTGAGTTTGCTCGCGAGTTGAAAGCTCTCTTCAAAGGCTTGTTTGAGCTTGGGATGTTGTTCGAGGTGATCTCGAAGTTTTTGAACGACGGTCATGGTGTCTACGAGGTGTTTAATGGATGGATAGATAGAGAGTGGTGTATATACCTCGTATGAATGTTTGGGATCGCAGAGAGGCATCCTTTTATAACGACGTAGCAGATGAAACCGCGGAGGCTCTCCTCTCGGAAATGAAGCCAGGGTGAGTTGGCAAAGATTTAATGTCAAAGTCGGTTAGATCCCGTAATAGCCACCGAGAAGATTAGACTTTGCAGAACGGTTTCAAGGGTCGACATGATCGTTCATCGAGCGGCACCATGTTGGTGCACATGGTATTTGTTCTTTGCTTTGTATTATCATATCTGGGTGGAGTATGGCAGTCGTAAAAGTTGTGTTGGCAAGAGAAGGGTTGGTCCATAACGGCGTAGAAGCGAAGGCGTCGGTCTGGTCCACCACCGGCGACCACACTATTCGGGCGGACACTTGTTAGAGAACAGCATAGACATCTTGGAGGTATCCACTTTGTTGTTCCTATCTTAGCCCTTTGTAATATAAAATGCCATGTACGTTCTTTCAGGACCGCTCTAATAGTCTATTCCGCTGAGGTAGATCCGAAGGCCGCGTCTTGCGCTTACTTGACACTTGCCAGTTCATTTCACTCTAACAAGCTTTCGATGAAGGCTCCAAGCAATAGTGAAATTACGCGAGAATACTCGATCTCTACAAGGTGAGAAATACATAAATTTTAATCAATATATATCGTGGAAGAATTTTGTTTAATCCAGTTGCTCCAACTCGGGTTCGGCAACGTCACGAGCGGCGAGTTCTTCCATCTCCTCCTCTCCGAGATCACGGGCGGCCAATTCTTCAACGACCTCTTCTCCAAGATCACGAGCGGCCAACTCTTCAACGACCTCCTCTTCAAAGTCACGAGCGACAACGTCTTGAAGGGCCTCATCGACATCACGAGCGTAGTGGGAGTGGTAGCTACCATGACCACCTCCACCACGGGGCTCAGGCTCCGGCTCAGGCTCCCTCGCGACGAGAACATTCTCCTCATCAACAACATCCCTCTCGTGGTGGTGATGATAACTTCCACCATGTCCACCTCCACCCCTAGGTTCAGGTTCGGGCTCTGGCTCGGGATTACGAGCGACGAGAATGTCGGCTTCGTCTGCTAAATCACGACGGAACACTTCGGCGGCGTCTTCACCGAGATCACGAGCGATGAGGGCTTCGAATTGTTCGTCGACGTCGCGTTGTTCGAGTTCGGCTTGTTGTTGGTGTTGATGGGGGTGGGGGTGTCCGTGTGGGTGAGCGTGCTCTTTGTGCTCGCCGTGGGGGTGGGGGTGGTTAGGGTCGTGGACGTGACCGTGACCGTGTGGGTGGGGGTGACCGTGCTCGTGGGTGGCCAGAGCGGTCGAGGAGACGGCGGCGATAAAGGCGAGAATGAAAGATTGAGAGAACTTCATGATGAGATAATAGATCAATAAGATGAGCGTTTCTAGC